CTTCATATGCTTCAGGACATCTTCACAGTAGATGAGACCATTCCCACGTCCTTCCGCACCTGGCTCTCCTGTTTCATGGGCATCATTAGCACATTGATCACGATCTGCCTGGCCACTCCATTCTTCGCTCTCATTATTATTCCCTTGAGCATCTTCTACTATTTTGTGCTGGTGAGTAACTGTGGCTTGAGTGAAGCTTCTGCCCTGCTGAGAGCAGTATCTTTGTGGCTGCTGGTCTTTGTGTTGGTAACAAAGCTGTGTTCCTCATTTCAGCGCTTCTATATCTCCACGTCACGCCAGCTAAGGCGTCTGGACTCTGTCACCAGGTCTCCCATTTACTCCCACTTCGGTGAGACAGTGTCAGGCCTTTCTGTGATCCGGGCCTATGAACACCAAGAACGGTTCATGCAGCATAATGAGACCATCATGGACATAAATCAGAAAAGTGTTTATTCCTGGATAATCTCAAATAGGTGAGTTTTACCCCTTATGCCACAGAACAGCCTGTAGCACCTCTCCCCAGGGGCTTCTGGGTCCTGAGAGAGGTCCTGGAGATGCTGCAGTTCTCCCTCTTGATCTCAGCATTGAGGGTTGTATAGGAACTGGGGGAGTTACGATAGAGGTGCCATCTCTGGGAACGACACATGTTAGGGTGATTTTGAAAGACAGAATGTGGACCCTACAAAGTGTCCAGAGCCTGGGTAGGGTGAGCTGTGCAGTCAGCGACTGAGATGCTCTTGGTAGGTTCTGGGAAGAGGCTGATATTTCAGGCCAGGTAGGAGCACGATGTGGGCACTCTTTGGTGTTGATGTCTTACTGGTAGATGCTTTGGGCTTGTGAGGGTTGTACAATTGGGGCTCCTCTGATATATGGCATTACCAGCAGAGGAGGTTATGTGTGAGACATGGACGGACATAAAATGAACCTGCTTGCAGGCCACAAGTGTACCATGTGTACAGCACTGGGCTCAGGGCTGGGTGTGAGGGGTGCTGGTAGGGGGCTGCTCTTACTGGTGGGCTCTGTGTTGGGCACAGGCAGGTACCTCTCTGCCTCTCCCACTGCCCTTCAGCTGTCCTCTCCTGGAACAGGTGGCTGGCCATCCGTCTGGAGTTCGTTGGGAGCCTGGTGGTCTTCTTCTCTGCGCTTCTAGCAGTGATTTCAAAGAACACTTTGGCGGGCGGCATCGTGGGTCTTTCTGTCTCCTCTGCTCTCAGCGTGAGTCAATGAAAGTGTTTTCTTATCCCAGGGACAGCCCTGTCCTGGGAGCTCTGGGCTGGCTGCAGGAGGCTGCCCTGTCTCCAGCTCTGATCCATGAAGAGGGGATTATCTGGGGTGTCACAACACCTGGGGAGTGGCTATAGAGCCAAGGAAGCACACATCCCAGTGTGAATGGATACTGGCTTCCATGAGGAGGAGTATAGTCCTGCTATGGATCAGAGATGCGGCAGCAAAGTTTTTGAAGAGCTAGAGAGGGTGGGCTGTGGCTGGGGACTGGAGATCCCAGACCAGGGACAGTCATGTTCAGGCTGAGTCCCTGAGCTGAGGTGGAAGGTAGTTGTTCCTGGGTCCCACTGAGCTCTGCATCCTCTGATTCTGCCATGCAGGTGACCCAGACACTGAATTGGCTGGTGAGGACATCTTCGGAGTTGGAGACAAACATCGTGGCTGTGGAGAGGGTACATGAGTACATGAAGGTGGAGAACGAGGTGAGGAAAACAGGGTTCAGGCAAGCACCTGCTGTAGAGCGTGGTGCTCTCCAGCCTCTTGGAGTGCAAGTCCCCACCTAATGCTCCTGTGCCCTCCCCCAGGCTCCATGGGTGACAGGAAAGCGTCCACCACGTGGCTGGCCCAGCAAAGGCGAGATCCAGTTCATTGACTACAAAGTTCGTTACAGACCTGAACTGGACCTGGTTCTTCAGGGGATCACCTGCAATATTGGGAGCACTGAGAAGGTGCCTCTGCCCTCACTTCACTCTTTACAGAGTTACACTGTGTTAAAGCTGTTTGTTCCTCTTGGCTTCAGTCTGTGCGCTGGGGAGGGATGGTGATGGGATGTGGCTCCTGGGGATTCAAGCTGCAGGAATGGGACAGTCTGGGAGATGGTGAGGGTAGGAAGGCCCACCAGAACAAGGTGGAAAGCATCTGCCCTCTTTTCTTCAGCCCTGGTCTTAAAAGCTGCTTCCACAGGTCGGGGTTGTGGGCCGGACCGGGGCTGGAAAATCCTCCCTCACCAACTGCCTCTTCCGAGTGCTGGAGGCTGCTGGAGGGAAGATCCTCATCGATGACGTGGACATAGCAACGATTGGCCTCCATGACCTGCGCAAGAACCTCACCATCATACCCCAGGTGAGCTGATCACCACGTTTCCATATCCCACTGCTGCGTGGCTCCTGCAGGCTGTTTCCTGGGTTATGCATTGCCCTCAGTGCATCCCTGGGTGCTGTGGAGACACCAAAAGCTGTGAGCATGCTGTCACCACCTCCCCTGCCCAGCTGCAGGCAACAGCATGGGCAGAATGTGGCCACACTTGGGGGCCTGAAGCCATTGCCCTGCTGAATGGCTGTGGTGTGGCTGAACACGGTGCTTTCCCTGGCAGGACCCTGTGCTCTTTACTGGAACCCTGCGGATGAACCTGGACCCCTTTGACCAGTACTCAGACGAGGAGGTCTGGAAGGCCCTTGAGCTGGCTCACCTGAAGACATATGTGCAAGACCATCCTGAGGGACTGCTGCATCTTGTGAGCGAGGGAGGGGAGAACCTGAGGTGAGCAGGCCCAGCTCCCCTCCCTTCTCTTGCTCCAAGGGACCAGCCTGGAACAGCAGCCTCCAGCAGAATGGCTGTCCAGAAATGAGGGCACAGAAGCTTCTGGGAAAAGAAGGTGGGAGAAAAGGGTACAGGAGCCAGGGCTCTCAGGATGCCAGCGTGAGCCAGCCCTTCTATGAGGGCCCAGAAAGATGCTGAGAGATGGGGTGCTCAGGGTGGCAGATGCAGGGGGAAGGCCAGGCACAGTGTTGGGTCAGGGCAGTGTGTGCCAGTAGGCTTGCAGAAGCTCTGATAGTGTCTGTTTAGTAACTCATGTTTCCCATCTCATCCCAGTGTTGGGCAGAGGCAGCTGGTGTGCCTGGCCCGGGCCCTTCTCCGCAAAGCCAAGATCCTCATCCTGGATGAAGCAACAGCAGCTGTAGATCTGGAAACTGATCATTTAATCCAGACAACAATCCGGAGCGAGTTTTCTGACTGCACTGTCCTTACTATCGCTCACCGCCTCCACACCATCATGGACAGCAACAGGTACCATGGGACAGTACCATGGGGCAAGAGGAATGGGAATCTGGACCCCTAGGATGGGGCAAGAGGTGGCCAGCAGCAGAAGCAAGGATACAGCCAGAAGGGCAGGGGTGGATGTAGTGCCTGGGGCAGTAATACACAGTGGTTTCAGAAGAGAACAGAGGGGTAGGAAGGTTGGCCATGCAGTAGTTATGCCTTTGTGGGAGAAACATTTTTTGGTATCGTTCTTTACAGCAACAGACCATATAGGCACTCACTGTTGGCACCTTACATGAGTCACCCTGCCAGCACAGGGAGGAGGGCTGTGCCCTCACCACTGCTGAGAGGTGAACCACATAACGTGGCCACAGGAGTGAGACTCAGTGGGGGTGCAGCACTGGTGCCATCAGTGCTATCAACTCGGACCCTGGGAGCTCAGGCCTTCTTGTTCCCCTCTGCCAGGGTGATGGTGCTGCAGGCTGGGCAGATTGTGGAATTTGACAGCCCCGAGGAGCTGCTCCAGAAGCAGGGCATCTTCTCCCTGATGGCGAAGGACGCTGGCATCACCAATACCGAAAGTACTGCCCTGTAGGGGGAGCGCTGCAGCGTCCAGGTGTGTGCGGGCAGCTCCCTCCTGCTGGCGCTCACCGAGCTGGCGTCAGCGTCTCCCCGCAGCCAAGCTGCCCAGGAATTTGCCTTTCTGCAGCTGGGAAGCAGAGAGGGTGGCTTCTCTGGTTTTCCAGAGACAGAGCATCTGGACTCGAGTGAGCTGTTAACATTGCTACCATGCCCTGCCTGCTGTGCACACAGGGGTCTGGAGCTGCTTAACTTATTCTACAGAGGGGAAAAGCTATCTGCGATGCAGGGAGATCATGACCCCTGTTGGGAGTGGTCTTACTTTTTGTACTTCACCATTGCAGGTGAACCTGCCTTAGAGATGCTTTAGCACTGTGGAATTAAATTACTGTTTAATCTAAGAGTGGATGCTATAATTTATTTACTTTTTGTAACTGTTTCTGGTCTTTCAACTTAAAGGCTGACATCAAGTAAGCCTTGGTTTAGCCTTAAACCCAGCTAGTGCTTGGGGGAAGCTGCCCACAGAGGTTACACAGAGGGGTGGGCAGTCCAAACTGAGTGGCACAGCTATACCCGGGCATGAACACTATGTGGCAAAAACAGGGTCTGCCAGCCTTCCCTGTGGCTATGATCCCATTGATGGTAGTGCAAATAAATGAGCCCCTCCCTGAGGCTATTTGTAACCAGCAGTGGGGCACATTTTGGGCTGTGGCTCCAGACTGCAAACCCGACTGTGGTGGAGACAAGCTGAAGAGGTGCAGGCACGTGTCTGTGCTACAGCCATGCACACACAAAATATGGTGGTTACTCTTGACAAACTCTTGACTCCTCTTTGTTCCTGGACACCAAAGTCAGGAGCTGTAGTGCTGACCTCAGTGCTGGCATGGAAGGAGCAGGTGCAAACACAAACACCCCCACCCTGCAGGGGAAGAGGGCAGTGCAATCACTTAATCTTAATGAAGAACATTCCTGTGAGGGTTTCCCAGTGTGTGAGCTGGAGCTGGCACAAACACCATGGCAGAAGCATGCTGGACCCCAATGAAAGGGAATTTTCCTGACCTTGCAGGATCTGCATGAAGTGTGTGGGCTTTGCCCTCACTGCAGCACTGGCCAGGCACTCCTCCCAGCATTCCCAACATTTGCACAGGCACCTTCTATACACAAGGGCAAATCTTTATTTACAGAGCAGCAGTACAGGGGATACAAACATTGCCCCATGAAGAGAGCTTCTTCCCTCCTGGGCATGGCAGCAGCAGGTATCACACACCAACCCACCAAAAGGCAACACATCCCTCCCAGGGATGGTCCTGCCCTTCCAGAACATCAGCACTGTCTCCAGTGCCCTGAAAGAAGGCACAGGTGAGGCAATTGTGGTCAGAGCCCCCAAAAAATCAAACTGGAGGACAATTTGTGCTTTGTCTTCTGCCCTGCCCCAGCCCAGAGCTGCCAGGTGGGCTTGTCAGAGCAAAGATGGGTCTTGGGCATGGGAAATGCACTGACAAGGCAAGATGGTGTTCTGGACTTCTGGCTCACCTGAGATGAGAACCTGATGGCTGCTGGTAGCAGCAGAGCTTGGAGAGGCTGAGCCCCTGGAAGGCCAGGCACATGGATAAGGCACCTGCTGAGGGCTTTGTTGTGGGAATTTCAGAGGCCAGGCCCATCCCAGCCCTGGGATGCTCAGCTACTCCCAGCAAACCTCAGAGCTGCTTCCCCAGGCAGGTGTAGATGTCCCACCCTGAGTCCTGCACGGACAGACAAAACCCAGCTCCTGCTGCTGCTGAGAAGGCACAGAGAGCACGTTGACGAAGTCTGGGCTGCTTTTAATACTACTTGACTAAACACAGTCTCCAGAAACTTGGCATTAGTCTTCCACAATTTAAACCCACAGCAGCTCCTCAGCTTTAGTCGAGCCTTACCCTCCTGGGCAGACCACAGCCCCAAGCCTTGCTCCCCTGCCCTGGCTGCACACAGGAGGCTCAAACAGCACAGGTGAACTCACCCCTGCCCTCACATAAGCTACCTGGTCCTGCCTACCTGGCCAGCTCACCATTCTTCCTCCCTTGATGGGGAGGTGGCAGCCAGTGTGTTGGGGCCCAATAGCACTGCACAGCTGTGAGAGGGACAGTCTTGGGGCAAGCAGTGGGGGCTGCAGGGCTGGCCAGCCTCCCCAAGACCCCCAGCAGTCCTGGCAGGAACAAGGCATGGGGTGCAGGCTCCTGCCTGCCGCCTCACGTGTACTCTGTCTTCCGGATGTAACTCGAGGGCACATAGCCCTGCTTCCCGTGTGCCTCGGCCAGCCACCACTCCTGATTGCCTGTGATGTCCTCAAACTGCAGGATCTTGAGTCTCTGGTTAGCTGACACACTCAGCTCATTAGTGTTTCGGCCTTTGAAGGTGTAGAGAGCGTAATAGACCTGCCAGACAGAGGGAGAGTATCACTTGGATGGTCAGACCACACAGCCTTGCTGTTGCACTGCATAGGATGTGTGGGCTTTTGTCCTTTTCACCACACAGTGCCAGCCCTAGCCCTGTCCTGGCCTCTGCCAGAGCTGCATCCACCTGCCCACCCCCATTTGCAGCCTGGTTCTCTGCCTCTGCACCTCTGCTGCTGGGAGAAAAGATCTCATACTTCACGTGTCACCTCTCCCTGGTCATTCCCAGGGAGGAGGATGACTCAGTCCCCAGTCAAGCAAGGGGATCAGCCCTCGGGATCCCCAGCCTCCCAGGGGTGGGTGAGAACTCACCTGGTTGCCCTCTGACTCGCTGCTCTCCAATCCAGAGTCTCTATCCTCCACTGAGGGCGTGGGCCTGAGATGTGCTTTGGTGAGGTGCCCGTTGCGAGAGCTGGGGCTGCAGCCCAGCTCGGGGCGGCTGTAGCGGCACTGAGACACCACCGTACCAGCCTCCAGTGGGGCCGTCCTGTCACCACACCCAAGCTGGGGCAGAGAGGGGGAGTCCATCTCCAAGGGGGGCTGCCCAGACTGGTATGTGTCTGCTGGGGAGGCAGAGTCCTGCAGGGGTTTCTGAGTGAAGGTGACGGCCACCCCGCTGGAGCTGAAGGTCAGTGTGGCGTTGCTGTGGGGAGAGGAGTTGCTGTGCTCCGACTCGTTGGAAGAGTGGCTGCCGACGGAGACGTCCGACTGACTGCGGCGTGGGTTGTAGGGCTTCAGAAAGGAGCTGTACACAAACCCTTTCGTCACTGCAGAGAGGCAAAGAAAGAGAAGTCAGACTGGGGCATAGGACAACCAGAGGAAGGGACTCCCCACAGGCAGCAAGGGCAGGGAGCAGCCACTCACCTCCATTATCTATGAGCCAGCGATTCTGGCTGCCCATGGGGTCCTTCTTCTTGATGACGCCCACAATGTCTCCTTCCAGCAGTGAGACATCCAGGTCCTGGGCAGCATTGAAATTGCGCTCTGCCTGGAAGAGACTCTCTGGGGGATAGCGGGCCAGGAGGGCAGCTCGGACGTCATCCGACTGCAGGAAGTAGGTCGGCTGCAGAGGAACAAGACAGGTGTGAGTGGCTGTCCTGGGCTCTGCAAACCCTGACACCAGGCAGAAGGAACTCACCAAGCTGCCAAGGGGCTGCCGCCGGGCAGACTGCCGCTCCATGCTCTTCCTTTCAAAAGTCTTCTTGGGAGGTGCCTGGGACTCTGGGAAGAAGGTGAAGGCCTGGAGCTGCTGGAGGACTCGACTGTGCTCATCCTGGAAGACGGCAATGAGGTTCCCCTCCCTGCCAGACACCTTTAGCAACTAGAACCAGAGCAGAGTTGGACATCCTGTTAGGTGACAATTGCTGGGAAAAGTGGCCAAGAGCTACAGCAAAGACCATGACAGGGGTTCTGCATCCTGCCTGTGACTTGCATCGGACCCAGATTTGCAGTCCTGCCTGGACTCAGCTCTGAGTGGTCCTCAAACTCATGACCTGAGATTCTCCCAGACAAATGCTCTTCTGCCACAATTGCATCATGACCCCACAGTCCCTGCCCTGACAGCATCCCAAAGGAACTCTCCACAAGTCACTTGTGGCCTTAAACAGGGAGAAGCTCTGCATAGAGTTTAGTGCTGCACCGAGCCCAGAGCACTGTCTGCACTCCGTGAACCCACCGACAGCAGTGGTCTCAGCTCCTCCAGGGCCAGGCGCACGAAGTCGCAGTGTGCCTCGGCGTAGCCCCGCACACAGCTGGCAAACAGCTCCTTGGCGAAGCGCAGGAACTTGGGCAGCTCATCCAGCAGCTGGGCATTGAGGGCCTCGTAGTTGTTGCGGGCTGACTGCAGCTCCTCCAGGGTTCGCTTGTCCTTCAGCTTCTCCGCTCTCTCCGTGCAGTTGTGGAAGTCAAGGAGCTTGTCGAACCGTTTCTGCACCAGCTTGTGGGGCCCTGTAAACATGCTCAGCAGCTGGTTCAGGGGTGAGCTCACCAGCCGCTCCGTCCGCTCTTTCTGGTGGGCAGAGATGCAGAGAGAAGGTGAGACAAGGTGCTCTCTCCCACTGTGCAGTGAACACTAACAGCTCATTTTTCAGCACACAGGAAAACATCCTTCCTAGGACAGTATAGGGACTGTCTTCCTGGTGGCACCCACAAAAGCTCCAGAGATCCCTTCCAAGAGGAATTATTCTATTATCTTACGTAACTGTGCCAGCACAGGTAATACCACGGAAAGTATCCAAAACACTCCCATAAAGAGTTGTAGCATTTTCAGGTAGGGCTGAAAAAATGTGTTCCTAAGAGGCACATCCATAAATTCCCAGGCATCAAAGCTCTCAGGAAGGAAGAACTAAGCAGGAATGCTCACACCTCTCCCAAGTTACCCTCCCTGCAGCCTCCCAGGGGCTGCCCTTCTGCAGCAAGCCCCCAGGGAAGGCCCCTGAGGGGTACCTCCAGCATATGGGAGCACAGCCTCACTCACAAAGTTGGAGAAGAGTTGGTCGCTGATGAGACGATTCACTTTCTGGAACTGGTCCAAGTCCCCACTCGCCTTCTCTGTGCACAAGTCCCACATGCTCCCTGCTGCCAGTGCCTTCATACAAGCAGACTCCTGCACCAGGGAGACAGAGTCAGCTCAACCACACCTGCTGCCCAGAATAGGCCTCCCAGGGCAGCCCAGACCCTCAGAGACCACCCTCCCAGCAGGGCTGAGGCCAAAAGCCCTGGCCAGAGGCACTGCAGGTACACACCATGCAGACAGGAGGGGCAGTGCACAGTGAGTCCCACAGGTTTGGCATCACACCCAGACTGACTCACCCGAACATGCTGCAGGTAGAGGGAAAGGTCCCGGATGAAGGACTTGATCAGCCGCTCCTGCATCCGGAAATTTTTCTCCATTTCTTCAAAGGCTTCATCCTTCAGCTATGAGAGAAAGTGTTTCAAGGAAGGCAATGCATGACTCCAGCACCTTCCAGAGTGCAAGACGTGGGGCCTTTTGCTCACAAGCTGAACAGCAAAGATGGGTGGTTCAGACCCTAAGCTCACACTGCCTTGCTGCTCTTGATCAGAGCTACACTTTGGGGAAGAGGGGTGGAGGAACAGCAGATACCACTGGAGAAGCACTGCAGGGTGTAAGTGTATGATGCACATTACCTGGGGTGCAAAGCCTGTGAGATGCTTGAGGTGGCTGCTCACACGGTTGGATTTCTTGATGATAGAGTGGAAGTTGAGCTTGGAGATCTTCTCCATGAGGCTATCCTCATCCCCCTTCCTGTACTTTAGCACTAAAGAGATTGATATAGAAATTAAAACCCTTGTAAGCACAACACTCATGTCTTACAGTGCCTCATTAACAATCACCTTGCTGGCTCTCCCCCTTCCCAAGCCTCTGTAGTCCCAAGTATCCCTCATATCACTACAGAATGGTCTGGATTGGAAGGGACCTTAAAGGTCCATGACTGTGTGTGTCAGCTAAGGCTCAGGGGTGAGCAGACACCAATCTCAACACACCCACTCCTGTCTCTCTCTGCCCAGCTTCTCACCCAGGTCCTTCCGGCGCTTGTATTCATTGATGTTGACATTGATTTCTTTGACTGCAAGGACAGCAGCTGTGAGTGGTGCCTTATCAGGATGAGCCTCGGGAGTGGCACTCAGCAGCTCCATCAGCAGCAGTGGGTACCGCATCACCCTTTGCACTGGCTTGATGAGGAAGGAGCCCAGGTTAATGTAGTTTGTGCAGCCCCTGGGAAGTCAGGACACAGGAGATGTACCAAGTGTCAGTCCAGCTCTGTCACACAAATTCTGCCTCCTCAATCCAAGCCAACCAGACTCAGAACACCACCTCTAAATCCACTGTACTCCCTAAGTCATGCCACCCTCATGTCCAAACTCACTGCACTCCTGAACTCCTGGTGCTGTCAGATCAACTCCAGGTTTCCAGTTCTCACTCATACCAGGTGATTTTTCCCAGCCAGGATCCCCTCCATCACCAGACCCACCATGAAATTCTACATAGGCACAGCCTCACACTTGCCAGAGTACCACCTGTCTCAGACTCTGTCCCACCACCCAACTGTCCTCAGTCATTGCTGAGGGCTCCCAAAACCTGTTTCCTGATCAAAACCTCCCCATGCCTCATCCCCTGTACTCCTACCTGTGTTGCCCATCCACTGGCTCTGCTGCAATCATACCACACACCCCCCTCTCCTCACAGGTGTGCCCCAAGGCACTGTTAGGCCCCCCCAGCACGCACCCAGCCAGTGGCAGCAGATTAGTTACAAAAGAAAGCAAAGCCAAGACAGACAGACAAGCAAGGACTAAGTGGAAGGATGCACTTACCACTCACTGTACAGGCTCCTGCCGGCCCACAGAGTGCCAAAAAGCAAAGAAAAGCAATGGGTTAATGTGGTGGCAGGTGTGCAGCCCTGTCCCCTCAGAGCAGTTGCCAGCTCCTGGGGCATTAACCTGCACAAGCTGGAGCCATGGCAGTCACTGAGCCAGGCAAAGCGGCTCCTTCCTCACCAGCCATGGTGGGTCAGAGTTAGGGAAACAGGAGCCCTCAACACAGTATGTGCCACCTCCTCTGCACCTTGGTGGCTTCTATGCAGATTTAAGGGGGTCTGCAGGTTTTCCACCACCTGTGCATTGGGGCAGGGGGCCATTTGAATCCAGTGCCTGATCAACAATGCAGTGACACAGTAGACCTGAACTGTTCAAACACTGCTGACAGAGAGGCAGGGATGTTGGAGACTGATTCCCCCTACCCCAGCCTGGTGGCTGCCAGACAGAGGCTCCAACCTGAGGCTATCCAATAGGTCCAGGAGTAGTTTCTGCATCTTCTCATCCTTCTCATAGGTTTCCAGCAGTGCAATGGCCTCATCATGGTTCTGGCAATATACCCTGTAGACACTCTCCAGCTCTGCACGCTGTGCCAGGAACACTGGCCCTGCAGACAGCAACAAAGCAGGATTTCAGTGTCACCTGGTCCCCAGGTGCCTTCAAAAACGTTGGTGTCCCTCATGGTGAGATGTCCAGCGTTCCCATTCCACACAAACAGGTCAAGAAGACAGTGCTACTAGAGCATGCAGGACACCTCCTTCTCACCCACTAGCATATAGAGCTCAATCAATCCAGGTCTCCTGGGGGTGAGAAGTGGATACACTGGTTGCTGGAGCCAAAGAGCAAAGGCATCAGCAGTCCAAGGTCTGAAGGGGCAGTGCAGGAGCGAGGAGTGGGGCTCACTTTGGGGCAAGGGGCCACAGAGGGCTACAGGCACCGTGTTTCTCAGCAGTGACCCATGGGGCAACACAGATCCCCCTGGCTTCGCTGTTGGACTGATGAGAGGCAACAGAGACCAGCAGGGAGAAAGCCAAGTCCCAGTGATCTTCTCCCACCATTTAAACTGTTATGCCCAGCCACTAGCAAAGCTCATCCCAGCCTTCTGACAAAAGTTAACAGCAGAATCCATACCGATGGCATCTGAAGCCTCCAAGGTGGACAGCAGCTGCTTGGAGAAGCTAATCACCATGTGGATGTTTCCAAAAAGGGCCTCGAAGTCTATGTTCTGCATCTAGTGAATGGGAAAAGAGATGTCTTGGATGGGGGAACAAGTCCAAGTCAGACCCAACAGCCCCCTCTTGCCCTCCTCCAACTCATCAGTCCTCAGCTTCACAGCAGACACCTGCTGCCACCTCCTTCCATCACAGTGACTTCTGCACACACTCCTTTGTCCCCCAGTGCACTGAAACTCTCACTCCTAACGTGTCCTACCACAGTGTTCTCCTCTTTCCCAGCAATTCCATGTTCACCTTGTTTTTCTTGCTCTCCTCCCAATAATTCTGTTCCCATGCCAAGACCCCATATTTTAATTCTCCTGACAATGAATTTAACCTACAAATCAAATGAAGAGGAACATTTCCTGCCCCAGACAATGAATCTGTGATACTTGCTCCCAGGTCTCTTGCTCTCAGCAAGCCTGAAAGCTCAGCAGGATCTCAAAACAGACAGGCTACTGCTACAAATGCAAGGAGCTGCAAGAACCATCCTGTTCCCTCAGCATAGCTTGAATTTCCTTTATAGGTTTCCATGCTGCTTGCTTGCCTCTGAGAACAAAAGGGACTCAATATCCTCCCCCCAGTCCTCCAGTGCTGCACCACAGCTTGCCCTCTCTCCCAGCTCCTACCTGTGCCTGCTGCAGGGGCACCATGATTCTCTCCACACACATCTCCAGGTCTCTGATATAGTCCCGCTCTGTCTGGAGCAGTTCCTCGATAACCTTGGACCTCTTCTCCAGCATCCTTTGCTCTGCGCTCTCAGTGGCAGCCCAGGATGTCTCCAGGGATGGTGTCTGGGAGGACAGGAGAGTCATCTCTGCAAGACAGACAAGCAAGATCAGCATGCTCCAACAAAGATGCAAGGACAGGAGACAAACAGCATCTGAACTGTGAACACGAGTAACCTATGCGACTGACAAACATCAGTGCCGAGAGACCAAGACTGTCCATCCACGGGCCTTTCCAGAGCTGCCACCCCCGGGGCAGTAGGGAGCTCCGGCCTGCTCCACAGCCCACCCTGGCAGCACCAGGAATACTACAATGCCCCGGCTTTGAGGGCCGCAGGCAACAAACCTGCTCCAGACGGTCCCCCCTGATGCCGGCCGGGCCCAGACTCCTCTCCCACCCTCGCTCTCTCACTCTGCGGCTTCAGGAAGCTCCGCGGGGCTGAGCAGACACGGAGGGGAGCCCCCGGTTCCCGCGGACCAATGGCGGCGCCCCCCTCTTCAGGCCGGGGGAACAGGGTCATCCATTCCGCAGCACCCAGGCTTTCCATAAGGGAATGGGCCGCCAGGGCCCCACAATGAGTGCTGTCGCCGGGCAAGCCCGGAGCTGGGAGCGCGGCCAGGGCGGCGGGGCGGGCGCCCCCGGCCCTCCGGGTGCCAGCAGGGCCCGGGCTGGGCCGCCCTTCCTCGGTCCCCGTCCACACAAACCCCAGCCGCCCTCTCCTTTTCCTGGTTTTTCTGTCCCAACCTGCGGGCTCCCTAGGCCGGCCCAGACCCCCTCGGTTTTCATTGAGGACATTTTTTCTCCCCCGCAGATTCCTGGGCCCCAGCCGCCCCCTGCCCCACCTGCCTGCTTTGGAAAGCGTGTGTCCTCTGGCCGAAACCACAGCGTTCCCACCGCCACCTCCCCAGCCCGGGGGAGCCCCCCTCCCGCACCTCCCTGGGACATCCCTCCGGGGCAGGGTCTGGCCCAGGAACACTCAGGTCTCCCCCATTTCACGGCTGCTTTGCAGCACGGAGGCCCCCGAGCCACTCGCAGCAGCCCAGCCTGCCTCAGGTACCCCATTTAGTATCAATTGCTGATTTGACAAATGCCTGTCCACTCCAGCCGTCTCCCACGGATCCCCAGCTGCTCGCTCTCAATGGGATTTTATTAGAGTTGCAGACATGCCCCAGCTCAGACATTTCTAAGAATGTTTTTGCAGGACTGGCACTTTCAGATCTCCCTGTCCCTGACCTCTCTGGTGACAGCCTGAGGCAACGGGGGCTCAGCCTGGGAGACTCCCAGGGACACACACCAGGGCTTGACACTTTATACTGGTACCAAAGCACCCACGGTGAACAGCCCCAAGAGACCCCCATGCTCCCAGCCACTTCTGCCCAGGTGCTGGGCAGGCTGCAGGCAGACCCCAGCCTTGCCCTAGGGGGTGATGGTAGTAACCAGCATGGGAAATTGCTGCCTCAGCCCAAGCACCCTGCCCACTGCTCAGCCAGGCTGGGCTTTTCACACTGAAACGATCTGGGAAAGAAAAGAAGAGACCCAAGCTGAGATGAGACACTGACTCAACCCATAATTATCTGAAACCATCGCCAGCCCTTTCAGCCCTTCCCATTGCAGAGCAGCATCGACAAGCAGAAACCACGAGCATCAGCATCAAATATCAAGTTGTCACAGCTACCTGGGCTGAGGACAAACTGATGTGCAGCTCTGCAGAAAGAACATCATCAAAATCATTCCCATTTCCAGCCGCGGCAAATGAGAAACCCAGCTGAAAGACTCAGAAGATGCCCTCGATGTAGGAGGTAAGATACCTGTCTCTGTAAGCTGCGCCTCTGCTGCCCTGCCGTGAAATCTAGCCTGGGGAGAGGCAAAACGGCTAGCTCAACAGGAGGATTTAGTGACACAACCAGCACTACATTTAGAAGGCAATCACTGGGAAGAGAAAGCCTCACTGATTCCTACTGGCAAGTATCCTTAAGAGTACCCCCATCAGAGCCAAACTGCATAAGGGAAAAGGCTGATTTCAGCTAAGTCAATAGCTGTCTTGGCTTGTTTCCACCAGTCCCTGATGATAAACTTTATCAACTCAAAAGCAGCAGGAATCCCTCCAAGGAGGGTCTGGGAGCAGCCGCTGGGTTTAACATTTGCTGTTTGCATTTCCACAGCATCTGCAAAGCCTCAGTGGCAGACCAGGCCCTGCTGTGCAAGGTCCTCTACAAACACTCACAGGGATATCTTGCCGGAGACACAGCACTTGGAGCCCGAACAGGCAGAAAAACCTACAGGAGGGACAACTAAACATCAAGATAATAACAGTCAGCAGGTCTCTGTGGCTCAGAGAGTTAAGGAAATAACAACAAATGAGTTATTTTAAAGAAATATATATATTTTTTAAGGAATGGCATTTGTTTTCAAGGAGAGCAAGCTCAAGTGGGAAAGCAACCTGGAAGAAACAGGAAGGTGTTAATTTGCAATGCAAACAGGTGTGTGAAACCCAGAGGAGGTGGGAGGGCGAGATGATACTACTGCATGGGGTGGGCTGGGAAGAATCTTGAAAATGAAAACCAGCCAGAATAACAGCTGGAAATGACCCATGCATCTTGCCATATGCTATGATGGACATGATTGTAAAACCCTTTCAATTATATTTTCTGTGTCACGCCATTTCATGCCCCAAGAAAACAAATAAAGTGTCACAGCATTTGGGAAGATAAATGGAAAGGATTACATTTGCCTTGGTCAAAGAATAGGACTTTGTATTTATATGCAGGCAAAATGCCACCAGATGAAGCTTTTTACAGGACACCTCAGGAGCTTACCGTACCACCAAACAACCCTGCTGTACTCCCAGCCTTAGCTACAGCTAAACTGCAGTCACACCATGTGTCTGGCTCCAGCTCACCAAAACAGAGCTGGGGATGTCCAGCACTGCTGGCAAACACAGCAGCTCCCCACGCTCCACCAAGCGAACCCCAGGCGAGTAAATCTAGGTCAGGCCCTTACAGAAAGTGCCCTGCAGCAAGGATTCAGACAACACTCGGGAGATTGACACCCTTCTTCAGCAAGTCTCCATGACACCCTTCTTCGGCAAGTCTCAAGTCCCTGCCTATGGGAGGGAAATTAAAGCCTTCCCTGCATGGATTTTAAGCTCACAGTAGTCATCAGCTCAGCTTGGTTGATCTGGCATAATGCTGGGTACTAGTTCTACTCACACAGTATCAGTATTTGCATTATTTTGAAAACTCATACAAATTAATTCTCCTCTGGTCTTCCTAGTCTTTCTGAATATTTCAAAATTCATTCAAAACCAAGGCTACATTGCAGTCAACTATCTTAGGACTTTTGCAGTTTATCACTAGTCTAGCATCCTCCTTCAGCAATGAACTCAAAAGTCCTGCTTCTTTCCAAACACTCGTAGTTCAAAATTTTCAAATACAGAATTTATTTTTAACATTTGGCTCTTCTATCTGACCAACATGTATAACTTTGTATTTGTTTCTGATGCGTTTAAAAACTCTCACTTCTTGTATTTCATACCACCTCTGTTGCTTGTCATCAATTTATTTTTTCCTGTTTGTCACACACTCTTGTATGTCTAATAGTAGTTTTCCCTAAATGAGGCTTATTAAGAATTTATCTAAACCCACAGATGTGAAATTGGTTTTGGTCATCTAGTAAATGTATTTTGAACACAGCTCCATTTTACTTCACAGATTTTCTATTTAAATGTTACTTTTCAATTTGAGTCATCATGCCCATCAATTTTGAAGGCATTAAGACCACAGCTAGAACAGACTCTATTAGCCTGCAGGAATGTGACTGGTATTTCTAATGAAGCCACCGAATTCCGATCCAGTGACAAATTCAAGTTTACCCATGACACAGTTGCCAAATGGGCATTTAGAAATACATTTCCAAAAACAGTGTTCTCAATCATGATTTTCAGAGGCTCAGTTTTTGTTCTCTTGTAGGTTTTGCTCTGTAATTTGCCTCTCTAAATTCAAACCTCCTAACAACATCATTTTCTCTATCCCCTTTGGCAAATTTGCAACATGTCCTTGGCTCTTCAGAATGGTTTGATGGTCTGCGACAGCCTCCCAGGAGCACCTGCTTTTGAGCTTTCCTAGTAGCCTGCAGAGCCTTGAGAGATTCAACACTAGCTCACCCTGGAAATGAGGTGTCAAGCTGGAGCACATTCCCACTTCTGCCCTTCCCGTGGAAGCTGTGATTTACTACCACAATCACACGGCTCATCCTGCTTGTCTGAGAAATGCCACTGTCATCAACTTTCTTCCAATTAACAAAAACTTCGAATTCTTGTTACCTAACCTCCTCGTGGGAGCACACATGCAATTAGAGGTTTTCCCTGCCCCACTCTGGAAGCAGAGTTGACCCACAAAGACCAGATCCAATGGGATGCATGTCCACCACGCACAGGCTGCAGGGCTCCCCCGAAGGTCTGCATCGCCCCCCGGCTGCTCCTTCCTCGCCAGGGCTCACCTGCCAGCATCCCCCGTGGCTCGGCGCAGCCTCGCAGGGCGCACACGCTGCTAAGGCGATCCGCACAGTCTGCGGAGGGACGCGCCGCCCATCCGCACCGGGTCGGCAGGCAGGAACCTCCGTGGGAGATGCACCCAGCCCCGAGGCAAGCCCAGCCCCAGGTTCACAGCTCAGCAGAGTCAAGCAGTGAGTCAGGACAAAACAAACCAGCTGCAAATATTTGAAGTATGTGGAGGCCAGGAGGGGAGGAGCCGATCATGAGAGGGGAGGCGATGAAACTAGGGCAGGGAATAATTAATCTGAGCAAAAGGCTAAACTCGCTGCCAGGAGCAGGATCTGGCTGGGGTGGAAACTCTTACTCTGGACACTGGTAATATGCCAGTGAGCTGAACAGGAACAGAATGGGGATGTTTTCCCAGGGCCACTGGAATGGCTTGATGGCAGACTTACAGCCTGCTTGGTGGGGATGTTTCTACGTCAGGTAAGATCACAGCCATCACCCCAAACAGCCTGTGGTTGCCCAGACAGTCCCACGGCATTCAGTGTGAACAGGGGATGATCCCAACCCATGACACAGAAAACAGTGAAGTA